AAAAAAAAAAAAAAAAAAAAAAAAAAAAAAAAAAAAAAAAAAAAAAAAAAAAAAAAGAATTTGGTAGAAGGATTGTAGCCCCTGCTTTTATTTTTGTTTTATCCAAATGTTCTGTGAATCTTTATCACTTTTATAGTGAAATAGGTATCATTTTAACATTACCCTTTAAAAAAACATAAGCAACCAAGGAAAAAAAGTGGGGAGAGGACTCTGAGGACTGAAAACAGGTTACCTGAACTTCATAAGCAATTTTGTTACATGTTCCAAACAGCACAGAAAAAACACCCTTCTTGGGACTGATCAGGCTGCAAGTTAGACTAAGATAGCCAATGGTGGGAATGAACTGCCAGGCCAGTCCCCACCAAGCCTTCTGCCACAATCACGAGAAGGGAAATAGTGAAGGGGCAAGATCAGTTTAACCGGACTCACCCATGGCCGGAAGTGTCGCGATGTAGACATGACTGGACAGCCTTTGCAAGTGACCTATGGCCAACTGCAGGGTTGTGGTTTCGTAGTTAGGCAGGGTACGATCTGCTTTCCATTTCTGAGAATGAGAGGAGGATGGACCCCAGAAAAGCAAGCCTCAGATTCTGACATTCCCAAAAGCACAAATTGAAATAGTAAATCTGGATGGTGAGAGCTCTCAACTTTTCTATTCACCCTAAAATTGAACGACTCTTTTTTTTTTTTTGAGATAGAGTCTTGCTCTGTCACCAGGCACCAGGCTGGAGTGCAGTGGCGTGATCTCAGCTCACTGCAACCTCTGCCTCCCAGGTTCAAGCAATTCTCCTGCCTCAGCCTCCCAGGTAGCTGGGACCACAGGCACATGCCACCACGCCCGGCTAATTTTTTTGTATTTTTAGTAGAGACGGGGTTTCACCAAGTTGGTCAGGATGGTCTTGATCTCTTGACCTCGTGATCCACGTGCCTCGGCCTCCCAAAGTGCTAGGATTACAGGCTTGAGCCACAGCACCTGGCCCTGACTCTTTTGTTGATAAACATCCTAAGATTCTTTTTCGCCCTCACTGTTGAAGCACCACCTTTTTTTTTTTTTTTTTTTTTTTTGAGGCGGAGCTTTGCTTGTTATCCAGGCTGGAGTGCAAATGTCGAGATCTCGGCTTACTGCAACCTTCACCTCCCAGGTTCAATCAATTCTCCTGCCTCAGCCTCCTTGGTACCTGGGATTACAGGTGTGCGCCACCACACCTGGTGACTTTTGTATTTTTATTTTTATTTATTTATTTATTTTTTCGAGATGGAATCTCATTCTGTTGCCCAGGCTGGAGTGCAGTGGTGTCATCTCGGCTGACTGCAACCTCCGCTTTCTGGGTTTAAACGATTCTCCTGCCTCAGCCTCCCAAAAAGCTGGGATTCTAGGCAAGTACCATGCCTGGCTAATTTTTGTATTTTGTATTTTCAGTAGAGACGGGGTTTCACCATGTTAGCCAGGATGGTCTCTATCTCCTGACCTTGTGATCCACCATATCCAGCTAATTTTGTATTTTTAGTAGAGACGGGGTTTCACCGTGTTGGCCAGGCTGCTCTTGAACTCCTGACCTCAGGTGATCTGCCTACCTTGGCCTCCCAAAGAGCTTGGATTACAGGCATGAGCAACTGCACCCAGCCTAAAGAACACTGACTTTCAAAATACATGTTTTAAGCACCTGAAGTTTATGAGGCAGAGGATTAATTCTTCCCTCTGCATCAAGATGACTTGTATTTGAAGTCTATTTTCAAAATATGGCATTCAGAACATCACTAACGCCAACCTTTCTAGGTCACCTGCCCCTCCCATCTTTAAAAGAAAACAAAGCTCCTTGGAAAATGTGCTATAACAAGCAGGTTGGCTTCATGCTTTTTAAAAAAAAAAAAAAACAAAAAACAACAATACTGGGCCATTGGCTCATACCTGTATCTACTTTATACGAAGCTTCCCAGTGCACGTGGTCACATTTCCTGAGAAACAGGAAAGGACCAGGCTTGGCTAACTTTGACCCACCTTGTGTTCAAAAGTGTAACAATGGGGAGTATGGTTAGATCCCCTCTGCAGATCTCTCATAGCCACTCCTAACCACCCTTCTTGCTGGCTCTCCAATTCTAATTTCTATGAACAAGGCATGTAAACAGTGCCACCTCTGGGCCAAGCGCAGTTTCTCTCAGCTTTTCCTAGCCCCAAATCATCAGGAGGAAATGCCCTAATTTGGGGGGCGTTGGATCCAGTTGAGCTTGGGTCCCTTAGAGAATGAGAGTATCCTGAGACAGGCTGCCAGGAGGTGCACAGGGCCTCTGGGACCAGTATCAGAGCCAAGTGCCTTAAACTAGAATGGAAACAAGGAATATGTGAGTGTGCGCTGGCCTCACATGGGGGAATCTGAGATGGGAAGAATGTACCAACCAGCTGCTAGGGGACAAAGCACACTCCTCATATTGGGGTGTGGGAACAGAGCTGGGGTTCTTTGCTTCTGGCTGCCTGTGGGAATGCACACACAAGAGGGGATCTGGGCTGACAGGACCGTGACCTCAGGACCTCTGTGCCATGCCCTTCTCTGCTGCAGACCAACAAAGCTGAACCAGTAGGAATCAGGTCGCACAAACAGCTCCAATTGTCTGGGATAAAAATAATACTGGAAAACAGGGAGGTGAATGAAGCAGGCTATGCTGGGCACATGGAGGGCTCAGCAAACACTGTCGAACCAGTAAGCAAAGAAGCTGGAGAGACTTGTGCCCAGGGGCAGCCAGGGCAGACCCTGGTGCTGAACTGCAGCTCTGGACACCAGCCCTGGGGCATTTGCTGCCCCTCCTGACACAGGTGGGTGCTCCCGGGCAAGTTCCAAAGCCTGTACTATGGGCAAAGCATCATGTTATGCCCTGGGCTGGATGGAAGGAGTTAGGAAGAGGGTTGGCCACTGTTGCCAACAACTGGACACTGTTCTTACTCATGGAGGGGGCAGATTATGAAACAGTTTCTAGAAAAAAATGCAGGATGAGACACATTTATTCTATATCGTGTCACAATAAATCTCACACACCCAGACCACAGCCAGGGTGCCATGTGGCTACAAGCAGCGGTGGAAACGGAGATCATCTGCTCTGGGGCTCATGGCCATCTGGGCAGAAAGCAAAGGTGCCTCATTGCACCTATTCAGAGGCACTGAGGCCACCTTCCCACCTCCAGGCACCAGGGATGTCTCTGAAGGGTGATTCCCATTTGGAGTTTATAAATCCAGGACTTCTCTCTGAGAGCCAAGCCCTATTTCCAAGTCATCCTGAGTCCAGGCTCTGCCAGAGTCGAGCACCTGGAGCTGGTGGCAAGGCAGCCCCGGGGCCCTGGGCCTCAGGGCCGAAGATCCTTTCTGCGGTTTTTGTGTCCCACCTGGGAACCTCGCCGGGCAGCTTTTACCAGGCCTTTGAACTGTCCCTGCAGCTTCGTCTTCTTCCTGCAGGGCCAGGGAACAGAAGTTTCACATCTGGCTAAGAATAGGAGGCCCCTCCTGCGGCCAAATGATGGCTCACCCCCCGAACCAGCAGGGATGAGAAGGCGGCTGCCAGGTGGTGGGCAACACACGAACGGGGCAGACCACGCGTGGTTCCAGCTTCCACGCGGCCCCTCTTCCACACAGCTCATGTACCACCGTTCCACTTCGGCACAATTATCCCCCTGGAAACAGGCCTCCCTCCCATTCTTCCTCTAATGTATGTCCAGAGAAAGTCAAAGCTCCCTCTGCCCATCCATCCTTTCATTGAAAGGTAACTTACAATCTGCAGAAGCTAGAACTTGAGAATACCATTTCCCTAGCAACATTAGTTTTCAAAGCAGTCTTACACATAACCCAATTTAAGGGCCTAAGTCGGAAACAACTCTAATTTCCTACCAATAAAGGGATTAGAAAAGCAAAATTATACAAAGCTATAAAAATGATGGCTATGTAGAGTATGTATAAACCAGAAGCCGGGCGCGGTGGCTCAAGCCTGTAATCCCAGCACTTTGGGAGGCCAAGGCAGGCGGATCACGAGGTCAAGAGATCAAGACCATCCTGGCCAACATGGTGAAACGCCATCTCTACTAAAAATACAAAAATTAGCTGGGCGTGATGGCGTGCTCCTGTAATCCCAGCTACTCAGGAGGCTGAGGCAGGAGAATCGCTTGAACCAGGAGGCAGAGGTTGCAGTGAGCCAAGATATCGCCACTGCACTCCAGCCTGGGCTACAGAGCGAGACTCCATCTCAAAATAAAAAAATAAATAAAATAAATAAATAAGCAGTTCAAATCAATAATACAGGTAGGTACCAACTATATGACATACGTGCATGTTTTAAAAAAAGCTGGAAGAGACTCATATTGAGTTGAGAGTTTAATGAGAATAAGGCCTTCCCTTCTTTAGGGTACTCTGCAGCTTCCTCCCCACTGATTTTCCAGCCCCAGCCTGGCACAGCGCCATACCTGTGGTTGAGCTTGGTTCTGTTGAGGGGGATGTAGGCATAGGGATCTGGCCGGCCTTTCCTCTTCACATCACCTTTTGCTTTCTGTTCGTCCAGAAAAACAGAGTCAGCTAGGAGGGTGGAGTCCCCTTTCTGTCCCTGCACTAGACTTGACAGACCCCATAACCTCCCTTCATCCTCTGCCTTAGGTGGTGCCAAAGAGCTCCTGCATCTCTGGAAGGCCATTTCAGATGCCAACAAGGCCCTGGCACACCCCTTCTTCCTCCCTGGCCTTAGTCAAGTTCTGCAAAGGTGCCTCTCAGGACAGTGTTGGGCACAGCTCCTTCTTGCCCCTCCCTGGCACCTCTCCAGTGCCAGGGGGCCCCATGCCCTGCATGCAGCTCTTACCTTGGCCTTGTATTCGGCCCCAGGCATAGCCTTCTTGGCCACAGGGCGATGAATGCCAGAGCCTCCAGCTATAGGAAGAACACAGAGACCACAAGTCAGGTAAAGCCAGGGCAGCCTCCTCCTGGAAGGTGATGGGCACCCTCTGTCAGAGAGCTGCCAGATAGCAGATGAGTGAAGGCCAGGAACTTGGCTCTATCAGACCAGGATAAAGACCTTCCTCGAGGAGAGACTGGCTGGTGATTTGACAGATCACTGGGCTCCTGAGACTGACCCAGAATCCTTACAGCTTCCCAGAGACCTCTGGGAACACATGTATTCGCCACTAACACACTAACATAAAATAACCCATATTCTCCAAAGTCAGACAGAATTCAACCAGCCAGCCAGGTTCCACTCCCAGCTCTGCCACTTACAACTCCAACCTCAGGCAAGCCTCTCAACCTCAACACTGAGATAGAAGGACAGCTATTTATCCCATTGTACAGATGTGAACCCTGTGGCTTAGTGAGATCAGGATCCTTGTCCAAAGTTAGCAGTCTTCTCCAGCCTGGACTTCAACACTCAACAAAGTTGTGGATGGAATCCTACAATGCTAGCTCAGGAGGACTTTCTGAGATGACCAACATGAATTATCCCCAATCCCCATTTTTTTGCAGATGAGAAACTAGAAGCTCAGAGAGAGTGTGTAACCAGGCCAAGATCACACAGCTAAGCAGAGGCTGGGCCAGCACCCTGACCCCAGGCCCCTGCTTCACTGACTGGCAGGTACTACTGTCCCTGCACCACTCCATCCCAGGGCACAGTAGGTGAGCTGGCCCTGCCTCATGGGCGCCCAGAGGAAGAGCCGTGACGTTGTGCAGCTATGTTACGCTCTAGGGCTCCGAGGACACACCAGCTACTGGTATCAGAGGCTTCCCACAGGAGCCTCTGAACCTCCTGATGCAAAGTGAGGGCCCTGCTGCAAGGGCTTGGGCTTGAGGGCAGGGGTCCCGCACGGCTGCCCAGCGAAGAAGGAAGCAGAGGTGAAGCCACCTTGGCACTTCTAGCAGCTGCTCTAGGAGGGCAACAGCTGGTAGGCCCAGAGACAGATATAGAGGGAAACCCTCTGACCAGGCCCAATACCAACCCTCCCAGTTCCCAGCCCCAGCACCGGCCAAGTGGCTTCTCCAAACGCAGCCTGACTCAGGGCTGGTGCTCTTAGGGTGACCAAGAGAGGCAAGCAGCTTGAAAAAGGGGCAGGCGCAAGCCTCCTGGGAAGCCTGGGCGGGCAGGGTGGAGCTGCGGCTCAGGGCTCTAAGGAAGGCTGGGGTTCCACGCACACATCTCCTACCCCAGGCTCTCCTGCCCTCCCAGGGCCCAGGCCTGTCTTGGGTGTCACATTAGCCAAACTGTTGGTGCCAAGTGAGTGCAACCAGGCTGTGCACCCTCATGGCCCTGCCACCCCTGCCTGTGACTCCCGCCCCCAGTGCAGGCAACAGGGATCTGTGTGTCCCCAGGACAGGGGAGTGGAAGCCTCACCTTGGTACTGAGGGGGCATCTCCAGCTCCTCCTCCTCAGCCCCTTTCTGGTGCTTGAGCTTCTGGTGCTTTTTCTATAGAGAAGGAATAGGTGGGGAGTGAGTAAACCAGAGGATGTGCCTGCTCTCAGGAATGCCAACGGCAACAGCAGAGTATCTTGCATCAAGCAGGAAAGGCTCTCTGCCAAGCACCCCACCTCCCACTTGCAGACGTGGAAACTAAGGCCCAGAGAGGGCAAGGAATTGTCCAAGATCACACAGCCAGGTGGTGCAGGAGAGAGGCTCTGGCCACATCCTGTCTGCTGGGCTGGTGGCAGCTGTTCCTGCTCTGTCTTTCCACTCCCGGCCTCACCCAGGCCTGCATTGCCCACGGGGCTTCTGACGTCAGCTTCCCCAGCCTTCCTAATGGGGAAAATGAGGTCCCTGGCCTCTTCAGAGACAACAGTTTTACCAGTTATTTGCCTCACACAAACCCCACCCCACTCTCTCCATTAATCAATCACTCACTCACTGATTCCCTACTAAGTGCCAGGCCCTGGGGACACAGGGCACAGGATCTAGTTCGTGTGTCCCAGGGGCTCTCAGGTAGGTGGGAGACCCCTGCTCAAGCCAGTCATCACTGATCCTCAACAATGCTACCAATCCAGTAGTTATGAATATAGACACGTCAACTCGTCAATTATATTCAACAGGAAGTGGCAGAACACCTACTGTGTGCCCAGTGCTGTGTTAGGCAGTCCAAGGGAAGGAGGGCGAGCCTGACAGCAGCCCCAGCCCACCAGACGTGAGCCTAGTAACCAATAATCAGGCCAGGCAGAGGCATGCTGTGCAGGGAGGAGAGGCGAAAAGAGGCAGCCCCAGCAGGAAGGGCTAGTCCCTGCGCTGTGGTCTGTGCCACTGTGCCCTAGAAGCCTCTTGAAACTGCAGATCCCAGGGCTCCAGCTATACAGGGGATCCAGAGGCAGGCTCAGAGGCCAACCAGGGAAAGGGATCAGCCTGGGCAGAGGGAACAGCCTGCAGCACACACAGGGTGTGCCTAGGGGACGGGGACACCAGGTCCACTGGCCAAAGCCCAGCAGAGTGGGCCCCTAGGGGAGAAACAGGAACTGGGAGGGAGCGGACTCTGGGTGCGCTCTGGGAGATGATGGCTGAGCTGGCTCTTGGTTCAGCTGGTGCCTGGCCAACAGGCCAGTGTATTGGCCTTCAATGGAGGCAGCTGTTTGTACCCCAGCACTTCATGATCCCACAATGGTTGGCAGAAGAGTTAGAACTTGGCCGGGCGCGGTGGCTCACGCCTGTAATCTCAGCACTTTGGGAGGCCGAAGCAGGCGGATCACCTGAGGTCAGGAGTTCAAGACCAGCCTGGCCAACATGGTGAAACCCTGTCTTTAAAAAATAATAATAATTAAAAAAATAAAAATAAAAAATAAAAAAGAAAAGTTAGAACTCAGCAAGTGCCATGCAAGAAAGCCTATAGGGGGTCTCAAGTGGCAGTAATAGCAATGGAGTGCAGCCACCCTGAGGCCCTCTCAGTGCCTGGAGACAAGGCAACCGCCCAGTCCCGCTCTGCCTGGGGCAGCGGGAGCCATCCTTAGAAGGCTGTGGTCGGTTATCCCTGACCAGGAAGTGGAGTAGGCTACCGAGGATGTGCAAAGCCACATGTGAAGTTTCGCTCAAGGAACCCAGGAAGCTTTGACTGGAAAAAGATTTCCAGGAAAAGTGAATAATCAAGTCATCACGGCTTACTTGGCATCACTAAGTGGCAAGCACTGTCCACAGAAACCAGGACTTGAGCCCAGGCAGGCTGGGCCCAGAGACATATGTTTGGCAGACAGCTGCTGTCACCTGGAAAGGGAGACTAGACAGGCCAAGGGTGGCCTCTTGGAGGGGTCCATGTCAGGCCAAGCAGAGGAAGGACTCCCAGTAGGTGGAGCTGTCCCACAGGAGCGGGCGCCTGGGGGCAGGGAGGGGTGGGAGGGTTTTTAGCAGAACCCACTGGTTTTCCTCAAGGGCATCCCAGAGGGGCTTCCTGCATCAGAGGCCACTCAGGTCCTCAGCTACTCTCTGAGGACTTGTCTGGATTTTACTCAGTTCTTCAAACAGAATTCTGCGCTGTGACAGTGCTCTAATAACAAAGCTCTTCCTCGAGTCATGCTGGGCAGACGGACACTTTGCAAGGCATACGGGCAGACATTCACAAATACACCAATGAGAACGGGAATGTGGGGGAAATCTGTGACTCACCAGGCACTATGCTAATGCACTTCACATGGCCAATCTTACCAAACTGTCCCAGTGACTCCACCAGGTGGTCTATGTATAACCCCACTTTACAGACCAGGAACTGAGGCTTTAAAAGGTTAGGCTGAAACCAAATGGAACCCAAGAGCCTGCTGCTTCCCCACCAATACCACTATACCCCTGACCTAGGTACCTGTCACCTACAGGTGGGGCCCAGGAAGGCTGGATGGACTGGGGCACAGTCTGGAAGGACAGAGAAGGAAGAAACTGCTTCAGATTGCCCCCAGAAATGTTCCACTGAGCTTGAGACTGATAGGTGTTGGGCGATGGGTTGGGCCCATTTCACTCTTGCTGCTTCAGGTGGGCCAGCTGAGAAGCTATTTCCATCCTGGGAGGCAGCAGTGCCAGGTCAACAGGGGTAATGGTGGCAAAGAGGTTGAATTCCTGGGCTTAGGAGACTGGAAAACCAGGGTTCAAATTCCTGGTTTGCACCAACTGAGCCCTGTGACCCTGGGGACGATGGAGTCCCTATCTTTGTGAGGCTATGTGGGGCCCTCAGCACAGTGTCCGGTGCATAGCCATGCTCCCTATGGTGGACGCCCCCACCCCATGCAGGAGCACATAGGGAAGCTGCTGCCCTCGCCCCTGCACAGCACACCCCCTCGCTGGAGAGACAAGGGTCTCTGTTTCTTTCTCCTTTAACTAGACAAGCACCACCCCCTCTGGCACGGCACCCACAGCCCTCTGGACCGCCTGCTATGCACACCTGCGAGATTGCACTGAGCATTCTGGAAGCAGGGCAGGTGCAATGCCTGTGTGTGGTGGGGGTGAGAAGCTGCGGGGCCCAGGCTTAGGTGTGAAGCGCCAGCCCCCCGTCTGCAGGAACTACTCACATTCCTGACAATCACGTCTTCCATTAGGTCAGCCATCTCTTCATCCTCACCTGGAGCCAAAAAAGAGAAGCCCGTGAGCATGTGGGAGCTCCTCAAAACCTACCCTTTCCTTCTCCCGCTCCTGGCTCACCAAGCTGAGGGGACACCAACTCCAGCCTCAGGAAACTGCCTTCCTCAGACCCACATCCTCCTTCTGCTAGAAGAGATGAGACCCCTGAGCACTGTGCCTTTCTCCTCATCCTAGGCCCTAGGGATAATCGCCCCTCAAAAAGGTGGTGACCCTACTTTTGCAGTGAATAACGGCTTTGTCTGAAACTTTTTTCCCCACTCACCCACACTTCATCTGTTTGAGATTTGAAGAAAGCCCCAGGTTTCTGCAGGAGTCTGGCACTTCCATAGCCCCACACACACCCCCACTGTACCAGGATGGCTTCATTCTCCTGTTTGAAATCTCTGCCCCATGCAATATGTGCTGGGCTCCATGTAGTGTATAAAGAAGTATGAAACTGACCAGTTGGAAGGAAGAGAAACTCAGGCAAAGTCAATCAACGACCAAAAGACAATAGAGAGCATGTGACCGTGCGGTGGCTCACACCTGTAATCCCAGCACTTTGCGGGGACGAGGTGGGAGGATCACCTGAGGTCAGGAGTTTGAGACCAGCCTACAACATGGTGAAACCCCATCACTACTAAAAACACAAAAATTTGCTAGGCAAGATAGTACATACCTGTAGTCCCCTATACTTGGGAGACTGAGGCAGAATCGTTTGAACCCAGGACATGGGGGTTGCAGTGAGTTCAGACTGAGCCACTGCACTCCAGCCTGGGTGACAGAATGTGACTCCATCTCCAAAGAAAAGCACATGACCAAGGGCTGAAGGCTAAGCATCCTCTGGGCTAGGCAGGAGTTCTGGGGGAATCAGGCCTAAAGTCTGAGGTGCCCAGGAAAGGCTACAAAAGGGGCCTTGAGCTGAATCCTGAAGAGCAGGGGGGTTTGGAAAGACAGAGACAGAGGGCAGGGGTTCTGACAGCCTCAGGAATGCCTGGGCACCAAGGGGAACAGGAGATGGGAAAGTATATGGGGGCAAGAGAGGAGGAGAGAAGACGCTAGGCTTGGAACTACAACAGGCACATGTAACCCCAGCACATACATTGTGCCGTCACACCAACTCCTCTTCATTCCAACCCGGAAAAGCAGGCACTAGGATTGTATGATATCCACTCTGAAGCAAGGAAATGGAGCTAAGGAGAGGCTGAGTGGCGGCAGTCACACGGCTGGTGAGTTGGGTGCATGCAGAGCAGCGAGGCTTCAGTTAGGAGGTGCAGAGAGGCAAGGGCCCAGACTCGCAGCAGTAGGAACCGAACAAAGGGAAGACAGGTGTGTTCTCAAAGACCTAGGTGTTTCTTAGCTAATGGGTGGATATGTGGAGAGGCGCCAGGAGAAACTAAAGAGGGCTCCAAGATGTCACACCCGAGGGACTCCTGGGCAATGTGAGGCACTGGGACCGGGAAGCTGGGAGGGTTGCAGCCTCTGGCTCTTTCTGCCTCTAAATGACCTTCAGTGCCTTAGTCAAGCTTGCATAAAAAAAGAAAAAAAAAGAGGAAGGAAGAAAAGGAAGAGGAGCGGGAGGAGGAAAACAGAAGACTAACAGTGTATCACACAGTAAGGGGAAGGACCGTTTCTGACAGTTTCCTTTGAGTTAAATACGTATTGTATAAATGGCTCAGTTACAACATATGAAGATTTCTTAACATGGTCTAAAAAGTTTGAGAAGCTCAAAAAGTTTGAGGAGGCTGCCTGAGAGATGAGCTTCTCAGGTCTGTTTTTACCCACGCTTCCTCAACAAGTGGTCACCGAAGGAATAAGTGAGCACGGTGAATAAATGAACGGACAAGCGCGCTGGGCCCCACCTTTGGCGCCTTCCTCTTCCTCCATCTTGTTGGTGTCGTCTTCCTTTATGATCAGTCGGCCATCAGCGCTCACTTTGAAGCCATGGTCCTTCTTCCTGCCCCGGCCCGGCCCTGGCTGTGTGGCTGGTGTGGAGAGTTTGGCATGAGAGGTGGAAGGCAGTCCCACGCTACTCAGCCTCATGACCAGCAAGCCCCGTTCAGGGACCCCAAATGAGCACCTCTCAGCCCTGCCCATGGGCCTGCCATGGATGCCACCCCCTACCCACCACCCAAGAACCTGGCACCACAGCAAGTCTGTTTTCTGAGTGCACAGCCCAGCCTTGTGCTTACCCAGGACTCGCTGGGCCACCCTGGGATCCAGGAAGTTGAGGGGCTCGTCCCCGCCACCCTCCTTCAGCCATGCTCGGCTCCTCTGCTGCGCCAGCTTCCGCTGCTCCTTGCCCCGGCTTCTTTCCTCCTCCCCATCATCCTCCTCATCCTCTGAGTCAGCCAAAATCTCCTCAATGCTAAGGACAGAGCAGCCCCCCGTCAGAGGGCTCCCGGGAGAGGCGGGGGTCGGCGGGCATTGTCAGCAGGCCCTTGGGTTGGGAGACACCAGGTCCCAGGGCCCTACCATGGTCTCACCTGTCGCCTTTGCCCTGGGCGGGCTCCTCGTCCTCCTCCTCGTCTTCCTCCTCTGCGGCAGCCTGGCTCAGGGCTCGGTGCCTCTTGGCCCGGGCCTCAGCTTTCCGGATGTTTACCAGGACTTTGTGGTACTCCTCCGGCAACAGCCTTTTCACCAGCTCAAATCTGAGGTGACAACGAAGGGCTGGTGAGAGGCACAGGCCAGACGGCTCGACCCAGAGGTAGTGTCCCTGTAAGGACTGGAAACTCTCACTCCTCGCCTGCCCTACCCACACCCCCTTCAGTGCACAGACCCAAACTTGCGGATGAACTTGGTGAAGAGGTTCCGAAGCTTCATGCGGAAGTGCCGCCGCATGTCATCTGAAAGCTTCCCAATGGCTTCCATCTGCCGGACAGCAAGAACACCAGGCTTTCAGTGAGGTGAGCCTTCCAGGTTGTCCCTTCACTGCCGTCCAGACCAGGGCCGCAGGCGGGGAGGCCCAGCTGAGCGGAGGGCAAGAGCAGCCCTGCTCCTGGCCCACACCCTGGTCCAGTCATGCTTCCCTCAGGTGGGCGGCCCCCATCTCTCCCCTACACCCTTCTTCAGGACACAAGGGCTGAGCACCCTTGCAGGATGAAAGCTTTAGTCTTCTAAACAGTGCTTGGTACTTGACATATATCCTCTCCTTGAATCCTGAGGACTACCCCTGAGATACATGCTATCCCCCCCTATTTACAGAAGAGGATGAGGTGGCACAGAGGGTGAAGTGTTCACTAAATGGCCATAGAGGTTGGAGTTCAGTCCAGAATCATCTAATGCTCTGGTTCCTGCTTCGCCCCTAGCACCCCAAGGTCTCTCTTGGCCCCTATGTCCCCCCCATCTCACTGCATTCTGCTCTGGCTAGATCCCTCTTAAGCCTTCATGTGGCCCAGTTTGCGTTACATGTGAAGATCTTCTTATCTCCAGTGTCTCCCAAATGGCTAGGGTCCCCATCTACTCTTTTTTTTTTTTTTTTTTTTTTGAGACAGTCTTGCTCTGTTACCCTGGCTGGAGTACAATGGCATGGTCTTGGCTCACTGCACCCACCACCTCCCAGGTTCAAGCAATTCTCACAACTCAACCACATGAATAGCTGGAATTACAGGTACCTGACACCATGCCTGGCTAATTTTTGTAGTTTTTAGTAGAGATGAGCCTTCGCCATGTTGGCCAGGCTGGTCTCAAACTCCCGACCTCAAGTGATCCACCGCATCTAGCCTCCCCATCCACTCTTTGAAGGACTTCAATAAATCCCTTTTTTTTTTTTTTGAGACAGAGTCTTGCTCTCTTACCCAGGCTGGAGTATAGTGGTGAGATCTCAGCTCACTGCAACCTCTGCCTCCTGGGTTCAAGCAATTCTCTTGCCTCACCCTCCCAAGTAGCTGGGATTACGGGCACCTGCCACCATGCCCAGCTAAGTTTTGTATTTTTAGTAGAGATGGGGTTTCACCCTGTTGGCCAGGCTGCTCTTGAACTCCTGAACTCAAGTGATCTGCCCACCTTGGCCTCTCAAAGTGCAGGGATTACAGGCGTGAGCCACCGCATCCGGCCAGGGTGTCCATAAATTCGAATAGCTCCATGATGAATCACTGTCTAGCTCTTCTCCCCACCTTTGGTCCCTAGTTAGGCTGCAGGCTTTGAGGGTAGTGGGAGGGTGTGCTGATTCTCATCTGCCCCTTCCTATCTTGAACCCAAGGCAAGACACAAAGAAAATATGCAAGAGGGGCTGGGCGCAGTGGTGCGTGCCTGTAATCCCAGCTACTCCGGAGGCTGAGGCAGGATAATCACTTGAACCCAGAAGGCAGAGGTTGCAGTGAGCTGAGATTGCGCCATTGCATTCCAGCCTAGGCAACAAGAGCGAAACTCCATCTCAAAAAACAAAACAAAACAAAACAAAAAAGAAAAGAAAATATGCAAGAGGACCAGGAGGTCTGGTGTGACTCAAGCCAGCCGCATGTAAGAAACTGAGGCAGCAGATACAGTGCACAGCTTGTCTGGAAGCCTGTCCCAGCCTGGGCGAGGCTTCTCTTGGCAAGAGAGGGCCAGGAACCCAATACCAAGAAGCTCTTCAGATCCTTCTGTAGCCCAGCAGGGGCCCCAGAGGAATAGCCTCTAGCCAGCTAGGTCAAAATGCAAGATGGGAAAAAAAAGGCAAGAGGAGGGGGTCCTGTGAAGGGGGGGTCCAGTGTCTGAGTCCCATGATCTGGAAAATCGCTGGCCTCAGTTTCCCCACCTGGAAAATGAAGGGTGCACCCCTGCCCACGGGCCTTTACCCTGGTAAGCCCCTGTTTCCTTCCATGGAGGGCTCTGGGGTGAAGAGAAGTTACCTGGGCAGTGTGCCCCCCCTCAACTCCACCTGATGGGCATTCTCCTACGGGTCCCTTTTAGGGCTCCTTAATGACCTGGCTACAAAAAAAAGTTTGAAACTTGCTGGCCTTGAAGCTTCTGGGTCCACGCTGACAGCTCAGACGCCATCCTGCTACTCGCTAAGGGGAACGGGGACACTCACCACCAGCTGCACATGCTTGGCCAGGTGTGCCACGCCCATGACAGTCACCACCACCTTGATGAAGCCCAGTGCAGACTTGACCACGTCACGGGTGCGGGAGGCCAGAAGCAGGCACACGTTTTCCAGCAGCTGCTCCACTGTGCTGGTCCCCATCAGACCT